CAAAGCCATGCCCTTCAGTAGTATTTTATGCCAAATGCAGAATGCACACAGTCATCATGCACGAAACCAGGACAGACTAGGATTGGCAGAGCTTTGCACACACAAACAGTGATGTTTACAACTGTGACGCGTATTAAAGGAAGCTGTTCCAGATTCTGGGAATGCGTCCACTCCGAGCAGCCCGGAGATGGAGAGATTGCATTTTTTTCCTGACAAAGCACTTTCTGTTCGCTTTTAGCTGTGGGGCAAAGAGATCTGACCAGATTATGAAAGGCGAATGACTTTCTTAGGGGAAGAAAGCAATTAATGGTTTCATTGTTCAGCGCCAACAGTTGTATTCGGTTATCGTTTGATCCAAAAAAGGACAATTAAAAGAAACAGTCAGGTCAGGGATTTATGATCTGATTGTCATAAGCGTTGTATGGCGCAATAGAGACTTCAGAAGAAACTGTTGATTTATTTTATTGTAAATAAAATGTGAATGAAATTGTGTGCTGGGAGGCTTTTGCATGCAGATGTTTTCTGTGGATTTGGATGCTGTTCCCAGTCCAGGCAGCAGTCTTGTTGATTTTTATCCATCTGTTTAATATTATTAGTGTTATTGATATACATGGAAGGAGCACAGCGCTGCACCACAGTGTACATTTCACGTCTTGGCGAGGACTGGAGTATAAACGGTCTTGTCTCAAATTAAAAAATAAGTTTGTAGAGGGAAAACACTGATAAGAAGGGGATGGAGACAGTCCGGCATTGTAACTCTGCCAGTTCCCACACTCCTGATTCGCCCCCCCCCCCCTCTCCACAGGACCAGCTGGCCGCAGACATGTACAACTTCTCTTCCAAAGAAGGGGACTACGCTCGCTATTTTGTTGCAGTGAGTTGACTAGTTTACCTCTCCTCCTCTGGACTCTGTGTGGCCGTGATTCTCTGCAGAAGAATGTTTCATTTTCCAGAGGGTTCCCAGGCCCCTGAAGCCTGTGCTGCTACTATGTAGAAGTGGTGCTCCTGTGTGATAAAGCACAAAGCCATCCAGAGTGCAGGTGCCCGAGGAAGCAAGAGATTCCTGGGGGTTGTGGGAAATATGCAAATTGTTGTTACCGTTTCAGACCCTTGGAAACGGAATCATCCAAAAAGGCGTTTAATTCTGTATATTAAGTCAAGGCAGGCGACATCAGGGAGCTGTTTTGCTCTCGTTAGGGCTCTGACAGGTGAAACAGGCCTGAGGTTGCTAAGAACAAAAATGCAATAAGGGTAAGGATTCCCCATACTGAAATTCAGGGGTTCCCAACCTTCAACCTAAATTGTTTGCCTCTAGTACCCAATTGAGATTTTAACAAAATCAAACCTTTCAATGAATGTAGATAAATGCTACAGCAGCCCTCTTAAAATCCTTTCACTAATATTCATATTACTACTGTTGTTTTTCTTATTCTTATTATTACATTGTTACTTATTAATAGGACTATTTAATTTGACATTGACGTTTCCATCACAATCTCACGAACCCCCTGCAGTACCATCACGAACCCCTAGGGGATCACGAACCCCCGGTTGGGAACCCCCTGCTGGAACTCACGGGGAGTTTTAGATGTACACGTGTAATATCTGTAGAGGTACAAAGTAGTCCTGTGTTGTCCTGCATCTCTTTTATACTCTTCAGATGTTGTTTGCTTTTTAAAATATCATCTGTCCACTGTGACACAGTGCTCACTTTGACACCTGTGTTCTGATCGTTAATTGACTGTATTTTTTTTTTTATCCTGAGCAAGTTTGTTTAGTTGCGCACTCTGAACCTGACGCCCCACCACCTCAGGTGCTGCATGAGAATGTGTCCGGTTTGTCCTGCTGGGGCGTCCTCTGGTGCACGGCAGTTAAAGAGCAGTGAACCACAGGGAAATCACAGCAGGGCAGCATGGGAAACAGACGTCAAGCACTTGGAGGAAGGCTGGGCCGAGGTGAAACAGATCCCTGCTTGTAAACGGGGGTGACGCCCGGCAAACTAGTTGTGGAACCCCGTGAAAAAACTGGGGGGAGGTGGGGGGTCAGTCCAGTCTTCCTCAGTGCTGAGACCCATTCCTCAGCTGCAGTACGTCCAGAGGCTTTCAGGGTGGGGATGCTCCGCAGGGTGTTTGAACTGTTTAAGCTGATTTATTGCACATCGTGAATTTTGTGTTTTGTTCTGTGACATAACCGAGATTTGTTGTGTCTGTTCCACCCTGTGGGTTCTGTTCCCAGTTACTAGAAGCACAAGCTGATTACCATATGAGATCTTTAGCAGTGTTAGAAAGTTTCCTTCCGACCATCCATGCACAGCAAGGTACAGTATTACCATGGGTCTGTGTCTCTGCCTCCTCTCTCGCTGTTAAGTTCTTTCTTCTTCTTTTGCACTGTAGCCTTTATTTCCTCTCCCGTCTCTGAAGCTTAAGTCGGCACACGTCTGAACATTAATGAAACTGTCCACTGCGCTGTACTTGGGGGTTCGTAGCATTTCTATAATTATATGCATATTGATCAAAGGTTATTCAAATATGTGACAAATAGGATCATTAGAGTTACAGCATATGTGCAATAATAATTGCTTACACTTATATAGTACTTTTCTGGACACTCCACTCAAAGCGCTTTACAGGTAATGGGGATCCCCTCCACCACCACCAGTGTGCTGCCCCACCTGGATGATGTGCTGGCAGCCGTATTGTGTAGTGAAAGGCATTGAAAATGCAACAAATGAGTATTGGAATGAATAGCATTTATGTTTTTAATGCTTCTCGTGTATATAACTACTAATGTGCACAAGAAATTTACCTGCACTTTCTAAACGTCCTGCTATGAAGACATCGGCTTCAGCCTTTTCATTTTTTTGATTCAGGCTACTGGTCATCTAATCTCTTGGCTGAGAGATGCAGATTGGCTTCGTTTATTGCATCAAAGCTGATTTTCTAAACCGGCCCTTTCATTCCTTCTCAACGTTGAACCAAATTGAGAGACAGGACACATGGCTGACAGTTCAGTCATACAGCCCGAACAATAGGTCCCATCTGGGACTGGTTACCACCTTTTTCCTGCTGCATGTCCATTGTTAGAAAGCCAAGAACTATTATTCTTTCAAATTGCATGCAGCGAACCTTTTTTTAAGAAGGGAATTCATCTCAAGGTTATTCGGCTGGCCATGTTATTTTTATCCAGTTATCCGTTGAGATGATAACTGAAATCATTAGCCCACTCCCAAGTGATTTAATGTGGAAAATGTGCCTTCCGTCTTTGCCCTTAATGGTCTTTTCTGACACCCCCCACCCCCGTCTTCCTCCTGTTAATTGTTTTAAAAGAGCTTCAAAGCTGCAATTTCTTTCTGCCTTTTTTGAAAAGATTCACAATAAACCCCCCCCCCCCAGACAAGCCCAGTCTCCAAGCATGCCCCTCGCTCTGCTGTCCTAAACGGTGACTGTAGCATGTGACTCGGTGTCGGACCCCTGGCGGCCCTGCCCGCCAGGTGGTCCTTAAAGAAGGCCAGAGCCCTCTGATGTTTTTATAGGCCTTGGTCGAGAGCCGGCAGATGTCGGGCGTTTTGAGTGACTCACCCCTGCAGAACAGCATGGAAAATCTGCACTTTTCCTTCCCCTTCTCCTACTGGGATCACAAATTCCTTTCGTGTTTTGAGCGGGTGGGGGGGAATGCTTTCCGTTTTTTTTTTGGGGGGGGGGGGTTTAAAGAGCACGCTGGCATGTCGTGCCGCGGCCCCTGTCTTTCTGAGTCGCCACGCTCTGCAGCCGGACTCTAACGCCCCACCTTTCCTCTCTCCGCCCCGCCCTGCAGATTCGTGGACAGAGAAGCCGGCGTTTGGCACGGCGCTGGACGACCACCTGAAGCGCAGCAACCGGGAGATCGCCCTGCCCATCGAGGCGTGTGTCATGATGCTGCTGGAGACTGGCATGAAGGAGGAGGTAGGCCATGCCAGCTCTGGCCACCACAACACAGAGCGCTGGAAGTACCTATGTGGTGACCATCGATGAGCTTTGGCTCAGGATCTACGCCTGTGGCTGGAAGGTTGCCGGTTCAAATCCCGCGGCCGGCAGAGGAATCCTACTCTGTTGGGCCCCTGAGCAAGGCCCTTAACCCCAGCTGCTCCAGGGGTGCTGTATAAATGGTTCTGACCCCAAGCTTCTCTCCCTGTCTCATGGAGAGCAAGCTGGGGTATGCGAAAAGACAAATTCCTAATGCAAGAAATTGTATATGGCCAATAAAGTGATCCGATCTGATCTGATCTTATAACAGCCAAACATGCTGTTCGCTGGCCTAGCAAGTCCCATGTGACTGCTGCCTGAATTGAATCCGGGTTAGCTAATAAACTTGAGAGTTGAAGAAAAGCATTAGGTTACCAGCGCTAGCTGAAGTTGTGTTTTAATTGAAAGTCAAACTACCTTGACGGTTGAGTTGCATTCAAGGTTTTTCTGGAATTTGTGCTCTTGGCACAAGTATCCCCGCAACGAGTTTCTGTCCCTGTGTGAAGATCACTTCCTCTTTTGCTGGCGGTGCAGACAGGGAGTCCTGTCTGAGACACTAAGCTCTGTCCCGTCAGTGCGAAGGCTATTTTTAACACAGAAACAGAACTGCCGTTTCCCTCTGTACGGTTTCTTTATCATTTGTGTGCACTGTTGCAGGATTCTTCCACTGCTAGCTTGGCGTTGAATTTGTTGACATGGTTTTTAGAGGAATTGTAGCTCTCCTACGTATTTTAAAACGATACAGAAGGTTGGCATGGCACAGGATTATCTTTGCATTCATCAAAGTGCTGAAATTCCCTTCACTGTTTTATCGTTGCCTCAGCCTTGTAGTGTTGAAAATCCGATGAGCACTGTTCGGGAAGGATTCCTCCTGTCTTAAATCCACCAAAATGTGAAGCGGGTTAGTTCAAATTACAATGGAGGTGGCATCTTGTCTGATTGGAATTAGTCACTGTGAGTCAGTAATCACAATGAACATTTTCTGGAGAGGTGAAATACAGGGTAATAAAACAGGACTGCTCATTGGTGGAATTGTCACTCGGCAGAATCTATCTAGATCTGCTGCGGGTTGTGTATGTTGAGACAGACATGGCGAGACTGACCTGTTTGTCACCTGCTCTTCCCATGTGGCACAGGGGCTGTTCCGGATTGCAGCCGGGGCCTCCAAGCTGAAAAAACTGAAAGCGGCGCTGGACTGTTCCACCTCCCAGCTGGAGGAGTTCTACTCTGACCCCCACGCCGTCGCTGGTACGGTCCGCCTCCTGCAGTGCATGTCTGTGCCATGGATGAGGTCTCTGATGGGTGAAAGATAAGAAAGGGACTGGAGTTCCACGTAAGAGCCTAGAGGACTCGCGCTCGATTTATTGTTGACCACGCCAGTGCACGTTCTACAGCACATGTGGGTGGTCAGTCTAGAGTGTGAGAGCCAATCATTAGAAGTGCTGAGAGCTCTGGAACTAGACTTTTGCAGACATTCTGAATGTCAAATCTCCGTTTGATAGGTTACTAGCATGCTATACTTTCAGACAGGGTAGAGTCAGATCTGTCGGGGACCACCCTAGTGGCTCAGCTGGTTAAAGTCCAGGTTGCACTCTTTGATCACGGGTTCGAGCCTCAGACATGTCACTAGCCCACTGTGACCAGGATACTCCGAGCAGCAGTGCAGAACTGAGGCACCTCCCAGGGGTTGGGTAGGATTAGCTGGGCAGAGCCAATGAGCCCTCTAGCCACCTGGGTGCTGGCAGGCTACTGGTGCAGTCAGTGAGGGTCACACCTCTCCTCCAATCAGAAGCGAAACTCCAGCTGTGGTGGGGCGGGGCTGCCTGTGATGTTTTAGAAGGGGAGGGGCCTGAAGGTGGGCGTGTCAGAGGAGTCTGCCTACTCTTCCTCTCTCGCCCCTGAGAACAGTCACAGGTGTCAAGTCAAGATGTTAAGAACATACAGCCGGATATGCCAAAGTGGGTGAGCACAACAAGAAAATTGGTGCTACCTTGTAAAATTACGAAAGGATCATACCTGACAAGGGTGAGCTTTGAGTGGAAAAGGACATTGTCAACAACAGAATTGTGTGTCTCATGGAGAGCAAGTTGGGGTATGCGAAAAGACAAATTCCTAATACAAGAAATTGTACATGGCCCATAAAGTGATCTAACTTGGGGCATTCAGCTGAAAGCCTGTCCGGGTAGCTGTGTGGAGAAGACCCCAAGACAAAAGAGCGAGGAGACAACTGTTTTATTAACTGGCTTTTCTGCATAGAGATGGAAGTAAAAAAAGACATGAATTTAAAAACATTTGCTGGGTCTCAGCCACTCCGCATCTGTGCATTTTCCTGTTTCTGCTTCAGTGATGTAAACACATCGAAATATTCAGTGCTACAGGTCTCAGTGTGAATGCGCTTTTGTTTTGCCAAAATATAATATTTTGCAGTGATATAATGTCTTGATTCCAAACATGTTTGTATCCCAATACAAAAATAAGTATACAATATATACACTCAAGAGTTCTCATATTCTGGTCTTTGAAACGATGATTCAAGATGCAGTTTGGGGGGGGGTTACTTACCTAAATACCAGTTTGCAAAGCTGTGCTGTCTTAACACATTTTTAGTAACCCACATAATGCCTTGACACTCTGTTCCAAAGAAGTTTTTATACCGTGGGCTCTGGAACAAAACGTTAAGGTTTGTCCCGTTTTGTTTAGACAGAGTTCTGGTTGTAGTAAATTCCACAAGCATTTTGAGAAACCCGACAGTAAAACAAAGGCCAAACCATTTGACCACAGCTGCACTGTTCCTTGATTTTTATTTCACACTGGGCACAATGGCCTTTGTTATCGAACACTGGGCATAGTGTAACTTTGCAGATCCCTGTGGCTGACATCCAGCACGACAGAGGGCATTGGGCTCGCTAGCACGGCGAACAAGTCCCGTCGCACTGCCCTGCTGGTGGATATCCCATTGAATTGGGGCTCAAGACAGGAAGTGCATGAGGGAAGGGAATCTCTGTGACACCAGGCCTGGCATCATGCTTTGTCCACTGGTGAAGCCCACCTTTGTGGCTTAAATTTTTATCCCCCGCAACCTCTGCAGACATTTAGTGTTCATGGAGTGTATAAAAGGCTGTTATTGCTTGATTTTGTTTTTTTGTTAATTACCAATGTGCGCAGTGATGGGACAGTATCCCAACGGGGTGGTGGCGGGTGGGGTCATGTGCTGTCTAGCCTAGTTTAACACCACAGAAACCAGTGTGTGCTCTGACCTGATGAGCCACTGTCCGTGGCTCTGATAGAGACGTTTAGGGAACAGCACGGATCAAGCACAGGAGGTCATGCAGTTCAGATCAGTGAAACCTGTGGGAGGGTGTTAGTGGAGTGGTGGCTCGGTGGCTCAGGATCTGCGCTTGTGGCTGGAAGGTTGCCGGTTCGAATCCCGCAGCCGGCAGAGGAATCCTACTCCGTTGGGCCCCTGAGCAAGGCCCTTAACCCCAACTGCTCCAGGGGCGCTGTACAATGGCTGACCCTGCGCTCTGACCCCAAGCTTCTCTCCCTGTCTGTGTGTCTCATGGAGAGCAAGCTGGGGTATGTGAAAAGACAAATTCCTAATGCAAGAATTTGTATTGGGTTAATAAAGTGATGTTGTTGTTATTATTAATCCTTTCACACTGCTTGCACACCAGGTGCCCTGAAGTCCTACCTGCGAGAGCTGCCCGAGCCCCTCATGACTTTCCAGCTGTACGATGAATGGATACAAGCTTCCAAGTAAGGCTGTGCACCTCCCCTGCCTCCGTTACTGCATCGCGCCGGCGCTCCGAATTTCTGCTGCTGGCCTGCCTGACCGAGCAGTTTCGGAAGAGAGAGCTCCGGTGACCCCCGACCTGTGACCGCAGGCGCTGAAGCCAGCATATCGATTCGAAGATCGACCGCGCCCGCGGCCGGCCTTCATTAAAGGGGGACGTGCAACGCTCTATTTATGTTTCGGCGTTAGAAAAAATCATCACAGATGAGTGCATTTCATTCTGCAATAAATGGCAAATGTAAACTAATAAAAGTGAAAAGTAACTGGTAAAACCTCCAATGTGCATCACAGAAAAGACAAATTTCCAGGTCTGCGCAGAGCCATATTCTGTGATTCAGACCTTATTACATTGTAATCGAGCAGGCTTGTAAATACATCTCTTTTAATCCCATAGAAATATTGCTCTTGACTTCAAGATGATTTTTCCGACAAATACTACTTACTTGTCAACTCTGCACGCAGATCATGTCGGAGCGTTTCTGCGGGGAAATGTCTCCTGCACAACCTGTCCTTATTCGCTCGTACGTCACATTACATCAGTCAGCACAGTGACTAGTGAGCAGGAAGGGCCGCCTCACGTCCCGATTCATGGGAACTCTCGTTCTTGTCCGTAGCAAGACCAGGGATTGTGACAACGTGGCAGTTTAGAGTTACTTTAACAACGTTCATGATTTCGTGCTTGATTCGAAACTTAACAGAAAATACTTCTGTCCTGTCAATGACTTTATTTTGTTACCAAGATTTAATGACCTGTCTGAGAAATTGGGACAGCAAATTTAATTGGCACTCCTGTGTGTGTTTGATTGCTTTATATTCATTTCGGTAGCCACCTTCATGCATAACGCACCTTATGCAAACAACCCAGTTTATAAATAAATATCCCATATTATGTATAACATGGCATATCCAAATAACATTTATTATGCAAATAACAGGTCTTTCCATGCAGTTCTGTTTTGTACCATTGTGCTTTCTTGAAAAAGGGTTCCCTGAAGTTATGGTTAATTAATAAATTATAGTCTCTTCCATTTATCATCCTAAAGCTCTGATCATTTTGCTGGGTTGCTGTAGGAAGTGATGAGCGATTGAAAGATATGTTGTTTTTTTTTCAGCGTGCCAGACCCGGATAAGAAACTCCAGGCTCTGTGGGTGACGTGTGACAAGATGCCAAAGAGTAACAAAGCCAACTTCAGGTAGCTTGAGTCTTGAGTCATGCTGTGAACAGTACAACAGTGCCCTTCTCTGCACAGGCTGTAGAGGGCATGCCTGAGTCAGATAGGTCATAATGGACCATTGGACTGCAAAAATAAATCTGATTATACATGTCAACCCATGTAAAGTAAGAAAGAATAAGAGACCACATGAATGATTGATCACTGGGAAAAGACTGACACCTCACAAGTGAATTAACTATCCCCTAGCACAATAATAATAATAATAATAATTGCTTACATTTATATAGCGCTTTTCTGGACACTCCACTCAAAGCGCTTTACAGGTAATGAGTACTCTCCTCCACCACCACCAATGTGCAGCCCCCACCTGGATGATGCGATGGCAGCCATAGTGCGCCAGAACGCTCACCGTCTGCTATCAGTGGGGAGGGGAGCAGAGTAATGAAGCCAGTTCATAGATGGGGATTATTAGAAGGCCATGATTGGTAAGGGCCAAATGGGAAATTTGGCCAGGATGCCGGGGTTACACCCCTACTCTTTTCGAGAAACGCCCTGGGATTTTTAATGACCACATTTTTTTAATGAGAGTCAGGACCTCGGTTTTACGTCTCATCCGAAGGACGGCGCCTGTTTACAGTATAGTGTCCCCTTCACTATACTGGGGCATTAGGAGCCACATGGACCACAGGGTGAGCGCCCCCTGCTGGCCCCAGTAACACCTCTTCCAGCAGCAACCTTAGTTTTTCCCAGGAGGTCTCCCATCCAGGTACTGTACTGTAGGTATTGTAGGTACTACAATAACAATCTTAACCCTGTGCTCTGAGTCCTTTATATCTCTTTAAAAACCGATGGATAAAGGAGGAAGTAGATTTTGTTACAAAAATAGCTGAGGATTTCCATGACTGAAAACAAAACCAGTTTTACCATAAAGCCTTGGCTAACTGACTAAACTTTCGTGGCCACAAATGCAGATTCTGTTCTAAAGCTGCAGAGCGACACTGCATGTTCACAATTACTGTCTATAAACAGAAAAGAGAAGCATCAGTCATTTAACTCCATGTGAAAGTAGGACATTTTTTTAAGAAGTGTTTTTTTAAATATAAATTTGGGGTTGCCAATTTTAAGGTTCAGAGAGAATGAGACACTTAGACCTGCTCTTGCAGCAGGCCCACCTATAGGGCCATCCATGGTGTGACAGTGCCGGAGGCTCCATAGTGCCTGTCAGGAGAGTTATTGCCTGTTGATCACTGATCGATACTTGCGAATGTGCCAAAAACGTAGAGGGTCCTGGCCACATAACATCCATCCTTCCCTGGTGAGTTGTTGTTCACCAACAACTCCAGTTTGTGGAGGAATCTGTCACAGACTACCAACATCTGGGCCATAGAGAGTAACCTGCGTTCTAAGTTAGATGCTCAATGAGTCATTCCAGAACCCTGGTTTTGAACAGTTTTTCTGTAGTGCAATGCGCAAGATGACTCATCTGCCTCTTCTCCTTGTTCCAGGTACCTGGTGAAGTTCCTGGCCAAGCTGGCCCAGGACAGCGAGGTCAATAAGATGACCCCCAGCAACATCGCCATTGTCCTGGGACCCAACTTGCTATGGGCCAAGACTGAGGGGTGAGGGACTGGGCAACTAGCAGTAACATCTGGAGGGAGATCAGAGTTTTTGCAGTGGAGGTTGTGGGGTTAAAGGACAACATCAGGCCTAGCTCCTTCTGCAAAGCTTTTGCAATGGGTGTGCAAAGGGGAAAGTCTTGCTTGAGCTTTCTGTTTGTGTGGCCTTCTGTGCAAACAGAATTTATTAAGAGAAAGGAGGTCTGCCATTATAACTTCCCCTTCACCCACTTACTAGAAGATTATTTCTTTTTCATTGCAATTGTAGTTAAGTTGCCGTCGTTTTGCAGAAGTGCCGGATAGCAAATACTGGGTGTTGGCACACACAATGTCCCGGAAACGGAGCTGTCAGTCAGGTAACTTTCGTCACAGTAGCAGTTGCTGGCAACTCGAACCATCTCTCTCCATGCACAGGAGCCTGGCTGAGATGGCAGCTGCTACCTCGGTCCATGTGGTAACGATCATTGAACAGATTATCATGCACGCCGACTGGTTCTTCCCTGAAGGTACTGTACTTCCCCTGCTAGGAGAACTTTATTACTGGTGTTGCCCTGCGGTGTCTGATACCGAGCCTTTTCACCGGCTTTTACCCTGGCTGTCTTATTGGCTGGGCTTCGTTTTCATTCAGCGTGATTCCCAGGAAACTTAAGAAGAGTGTACTGTTGGGTTTTACCTGTATAGAAGAAAAAAATGGAACTGTTGGCATGCATTTCACTGGCACAAGAGTTCCGGTTCTCTTTCAAGCTGGCCTTGAAAATTACTGTCACTCTCATTTGCTTTACGATCATGTTTTAAAAGCCTCATAAACGTTGGCAGGGCTGTGTTTTGCAGACGTGTGACCTTGTAATTGTTGGGCAGTTTTAATTCTAATTTGAATTCTTTCTAGTTTTAATTATCCAGCATGAAAGCCACTGATATTGTAACAGAATTATCGCCTTAAAGATACTGAGTGATGATGGAGGTGTCGGCCATTCTCCAGGTTACGTGTTGGCTCTCTCCTCAGAGCTGGATTTCAATGTCTCTGGGATGTTCGCCTTGCCCACGCCCCCTGCCAACAGCACCAACCACCTGCCGGCGTCGGACTTTGACCCTGGCACGCTGGAGAGGAAGAGACCGCTCAGCGTGGCGGTGACGGAGGCCGACCCGACCCGCAAAGACAGGTATCCGGTCCCAGAGAGGCAGAACCCAGGAGCCTCCTCACACTCAACCACAGCCCCCAGTTCTCCAGCTCCTTCAGATGGCTGCAAGAGCTCTTAAATAACTCTGTGTTGTGCGATTGAGAGAGATACTGCTGAAGACTGAGCGCTGATGGGTACTAATAGAACCATTAACCTTACTAGCATGACTAGACTATAACCCAGTAGTGCCCAAGCAATGTGAATGCAATTTCGTAGCTGCTGTAGTTGCAATTCAGATGGAGGTTGTCTGTGTTCGCTGGCCTTGTCTTGCTTTGAGTGTGTCATTTCCTACAGGAGGAAGGTTCTTTCCACACCGCCTTGTGTCCACAGATCCTGTGAAGGACTAGCAATGTGCCGCGAATCCCCTTAACAGAGCAGGCCTTTCAAAGCGATCCATGTGGGCAGGGTCTTTTCCGACTCCTGCAAACAGTGACAGTCCTTTAGGTTAGAGGATCACATAGAGCGTCATCAGACAGAACATTTCTTTCACAAATTCTATTACACAAGTTGTAAATTGGTGTATTGTTTACTGGCAGCATGCGTAGCATTAAAGCAGATTCATCTTAAAAAACAAGAGCGCCGATATTAAATATGTTGCACATCTTTAGTGAGGTGTGTTTATGTGTATTCACATTACGGTAGCATTGCATGTGTCTTTGTCACTGGTAACGGTTGGTTAGAGTGCAGGTCTACTGGAAGCTAGTCCCTGCAGGAAAAGTGACAGCTGACTCGATGCATTTCAGGCCACGCGTCATTACGTGGCTCTGCCACCAGGTGGCGTACACTGCAGTCGTCTTCCCTCCCCGTCACCTGGGCCTTGTGTGTCAGCCTGCAACTCTCATCATGGCCTCTGTGTGTGTGTCTCCACTGTCTCCCTCTCTCTGTAGCCCTGCTAACAAACTATTGGACCACACTCCGCGTAGAAGCGGCACTCTTAATAGGAAACAGCACTCCTCGCCCGCCTTCCAGCCCCCCCTGCCTCCGGTCGAGGCTGGGGGGGGGGCCCTGGCGCAGCCCGTTGCCGAGCAACAGGCTCAGCCAATGGGTGTGGGCAGTGAGGCCGGCCCCTCAGGCTCGGCACAGGGTGTGGCGTCAGGGGCCACATTCCAGCAACCCCCTGCCCAGCACTGTGAGGACAGCAGGTAAGGACTTGGGCGCCAGGTGTTCAGCGCCACTCCATGGCCAGCGACGGCGCTGCACCAGTCATGAGCTGATGGGGTGAAAGGACCTGCGTTCGGTACTTTTCCCCCTTTCGTGCGTCTCCCCTTCAGGAACGCGCGTTAAGTGCCGGCAGCGTTAATCTTCACTCGCACACGATCGGCATTGCTGACAGTTCAGTAGGGCAAGATCAGCAAGTTGTTTAAAAGCTATATATATATATAAAAAGTCCCATTGAATTTTAGACTGGATAATGAAGAATATTTTAATTGACTTAATTGATTTTTGTGTTATTGTTTTAGAGGAGAAGAAAAAATTTTTTCAACAAAGCTTCGTTGAAGCAGTGTTTCAGTAACATTTCCCTTCGAAAATGCGCTTCCCTTCGTGGGTTCGAACGAAGCAGGTTTCTGTTAGATTGTGTGAGGGAAAAGAACCGTGTAAGTGCACGGTGCAGAGATGAGTTTGAATGCGGAACTAGAGGTGACAGTTGCTTCCGATTTTGGTTGCTTCCTGTCTGTCTGGTTTGTTACTCCCCTGATCCCATCAGCTCATTCCTGGTCAGGCTGTCGGTTCCACCAGCAGGAATCGGAAAGACACTGCGGCTTCCTCTTGTTTGCTCCTGTGGAGAAATCTTGCCTCTTGGTGCACGTGTGGCTGACGATCGTGGAATCCTGGCTGATTTTAAGAGTGGAGGTTGGCAGCGTAGTCTCTGCACCTCCTCTCTCCCTGCACGAGCCTCTCCTGCCCCCCCCCTCCCCGCCTGCAGCTCACATTCACCTGCATCCCGATTTGCAAGCTGGGGAAAAATCAAGGCGCCCCGATCCCAACGCATGCCGCCGTTCGAATTCTCCATAAGCGATTGGCAAGCTTTCTTTCAGACGAAATCAACGTGCGATTGCACGATTGCACGATTATTTCTGTCCGCGCTGAATTCGCACTTTGCGGGAGCCCCGTGCGAGTGGCGGGTGCTGCAGTCACGTGGGCCCCTCTCTGCTCTTCCAGCTCCCCGAAGGCGAGAGAACCGGCCTCGACGCCCCCCCCGCTGAGGAACGGGGCCGCAGGGGGGGCGACGCTGACCCCCAGCCCCGGCGGTGGAGCGGGACAGCTGACCGTAGGGCCCTCCCAGGCGGGATCGCTGGGGCCCAGCCCTCACATGGTGCGCAGAGGTAAGAGCAGAGCCGTCTTGCGGTGGTCTTTTGAGGAGCTGGACCATGCAGTCCGGGGGAAGCAAGAGAAATCGGGGAGACGGAGAACGTTGAGGGTCCAAGTGGAACGAATGGGGTCTTTGCAAGCTGGATGGGTTGAATAGGAACCAGATTACGGCTTACTGGTCTTATACAGACGGGTTTAGGTAGTGCCATCGGTTTAGTCTAGAAGAACACAAGCAATTGATCTAAATCAATCACGTCATCAATCAAGCCGGGGCGGTGCAGTAGCTCTGTGGCTGGAAGGTTGTAGGAATCCGACTCCGTTGGGCCCCTGAGCAAGGCCCTTAACCCCAACTGCTCCAGGGGCACCATATAAATGGCTGACCCTGCGCTCTGACCCCAAGTTTCTCTCCCTGTCTGTGTGTCTCATGGAGAGCGAGCTGGGGTATGCGAAAAAACAAATTCCTAAAGCAAGAAATTGTGTATGGCCAATTAAGTGATCTGATCTAAACTATAAGATAATTGGAATTGAAAGGGAATTCAGAACACAGGACAGGAAATGCGGTTTTACGCAATGAGTCAGGTGGGTGAGGCCCAAACTCTTGGCTCTTTTAAGAGCCAACTGGATGCAGTTGTTGAGATTTGATTAACTACTATACTGTCAAACCTGCAAGGTGGACTGATTGGCATCCTCTCGTCTATAACCGATCTGACCTTAAATTACAAGAAAATGCACTGTGGCGAAGTTCTTCCACTTCATATGTCGTGCATAAGTATTTAAATGTAAATGGTTAACAGTCTAGTCAGCACAAAACTTAAATATGCGTCTATGAGCCATACAGTAATAATAATCAACTTTATTTTATATAGCGCCTTTAAAGGTGGCTTCTCAAAACGCTTTACAGAATGACAACAACAATTTGAAATAATAAAAAATACACAAGATAAACACGATGCGAATACGCAGGGGAGACAGTAGATGGTGGTACTAAATACAGTAGGAACAGAGGGGTAAAGATTGGACCAGTTCAGTAAAGGCTCTTCTAAAGAAGAAGGTTTTGAGTCTGGATTTGAAGGAGTTTAGAGACGGTGACTCTCTGATATCCTTGGGGAGAGAGTTCCAGAGCTTGGGGGCATAACAGGAGAAGGCCCCGTCACCCACAGAGTGTAGACGGCCTTGGGGGACAGTTAGGAGAGCAGAATTAGAAGAGCGAAGGTTGCGAGGTGGGGAGTAGGGCGATAATAGCTCAGACAGGTGCTGGGGTGCCAAGCCGTGGAAGCATGTATATTTCACATTTATTAAATTGATCCCTAATTAATGATCTGCCCTCGTCACCTTTACAGCTACAAAGAAGCCGGCGCCGGCCCCGCCTAAGCCCGCCAACCCCCCTCCGGGACCAGCCGCCACCCCGGCTCCCAAACCCGTCTCCGGCCACCCCCCCTCCAGCCAGAGCTCCCCCGCCCAGCCCGCCGCCCAGCCGCGCAGGCACTCGAGCAACCAGCTGCCCATCCAGGCCCCCAGCCACCCGCCCCCTCAGCCTCCCACCCAGGCCACGCCGCCCCCGCACCCGAAGGCTCTCGGGCAGACGCCGGGGGGCGCCGGCGAGGCGGGGACGGAGAACTCCCCCCCCAGGACCCCTACCCCCCCCGGCACCCCTCCGCCCCTCGCGGCCGCCCACGACACCCACCAGCCCCCCTCTCCCTTTCAGTCGGGGTCTCTTCCCAGGCCCCGGCCTGTCCCCAAACCCCGCCACAGACCCAGTATCCCCCCGCCGCCCCAGCCGCCCACTCCCGGCGCCAGCGACAACAACGCCAACGGCATCTGCAACTCTGCTTCCAAAATCATCACCGGTAAGCCAGCTGCGTCTCTCTCTACGTGCGGTCGGGGTTGGTACGTGGAGAGAGCTTGATCCAGTATCCATGCAGTGAGCAGAGGCTTGAAATGCACATTTCAAGGATTAACCATTGCGTAAACCTTAACTAATCGATAATCAGATCAGTTATGCAAGAACAATGGTGTCTTCTAGGAAATGCAGTACATGCACTTTGTTCCGTCTGCGTACAAATGGTATCGGTGTTAAAATAGCATCTGCTTGTCCTGTAGCTGCCTGAAAGCGAAAGTATTTCTTTCCCCTTCGTTATGACCCGCAATTGTCGTATGAATCTGGTGCAGTTCAGGCGGGGCTGGACCTAGCCGGTCAGGACTTGCTTGAGGAAAAGCGCTAAAAGACTGTGCACACCTTCAGGAACAGCCGCAGGCTGGCCGTCTGTGGGACGGGGTCTTGTCCGACATGGAGAACTCCTGCTCTGAGCTCGAGCATGTAAACGTGCCCCCCCCCTGCTTCCTGTGATCCAGGGAAAGAGGTCTTTGCTTCAAAAAAGGGGTTGGCATTGCCATACAAAGTACCTGGTGCCCATTTCCGCGATTCTTGGCTTTGCATAGGATTTTCGATGCACAGATATTCTGAATGCATAGGATAGCCAGTCGCTGCATGCATAATATAACATCATAACGTCCTGTAGTGTCTGTAGGAAACCGGAGTGTTTTAGAATAGTGTATGTGCCGTGCTGTCATTACAGTGCCAGTCACTCACACCACGGGGAGGAAAAAAGTTTGATGTCACGGATCAGTTGGGTTCCATGGCAACAAAAAGCAGAGAAACCACTTTTTGTAACTCTTAAGCCTGAAATGTGAAGCTGCCAAAACCGCATCTTGTCCCCAAACTTGCTTGTTAGCTTTTTTTGTTTCAGTCTAGAACCATCTTGGTGAGCACAGTGTACAGATGCTTCAGAAGTGTGGTTCACTGACCCCTTCTAAGAAATGTGTGTTAAAGACCGTATTGGGTGAGCTGGCTAAACAGCCAAGCAGAATAGAAATGCAGCTCTCCTAAACTGACTTTCTTAACAGGACGCAGTACAGCACAGTGCCACATTGGAGGGAAAAAATGGGTTAAACCTGTGATCAATAATCCACAGGTGGCAGAATACATTTTTTTAGTCTCTCCATCAGTAATCCTGTTCAGCCACCTCTCTTTCTCTATCAGTCAATAACATTGTGCAGGTCAGCGCTGACTTGGGATTATCTTAATACACCTCTAATTGTCATTAATTGTGCACTAACGGCCTTGTCGCAATACTTCCACAGGTTGATGATCTTTCCAGCAGGAAGGTTTGTAATGAGACACTTGCATTTGCAGTTTCCAGTGCCCCTGCTCTCAGCTCTGTACTCCATGTGTTATGTTACAGCAGCCTCTGCTGTTCTGTACATGCTTGAGGCATTTTGCTTGCAGTTGAACTGTTGTGTTTACATTGTCCACCAGGTACTTAACCTCCGTTTTTCATTTTATCACCAAAAACGCCCATCTCGTTTATAACCCATCTACTTTTTGATTGCTTGAGAGCCATGTTCATACCATTAACCCCCATGGAAAAGCGGACATGAGATGTGGATACATTTTTTCTCAAGAGTTAAATGCAAAGAATCAAGCACAACTCAGGAAAAGATGTGGAGCAGTAAAAGCAAAACATGGCAGTAGAGGAAAATGCCACTGTTTTCCCTTTACCATTTAATGCACAATCACGTTCAGCTTCCTTAGCAATGCTTGCGCGATGCCAAGATCAACAGTGTACTGGCTGTTTACTCCTTTTTTGAGTGGATGTGCATAATTCAATCTCTCATCACAAGGGTATTTTATTAAATGGTCTGCACCAAGCAGCCTAGGACTTCTGTGACTCATTTATGGTAGGGAAAACCCACAGCAGCACTTGCATAACTCCCTGCTCCCCATGTCCCTGTTAAATTGTGTATTGTGGCTTTAGGTTTGCAAGACCTAGTAGTGTGCTATGTTTTCTGCCAACTCTGGTGTGCATGTTGTTGATAGGCCTTTGCAATAGCAATGCATGCTGCAAAACCTATTGCATCAGAAAATGTGTTTTACTGTAAGAAATGAGAATGAAACAATGCCCACGTGACCCTCTTGACTTCTGGCATGCATCGCAGCTCTAATCCACTGCACTTTGACATTGTGACTCCTGGCTTTCATTGAAGATCAATGTAAAAGGTGCAATGTCCCTTAATTTGCCTGGAGGATTTTAAAAGGTTTATTGTGCAATCAATATCAAGGTCAATTTTTGCTTCATGGTATTTTTTTAGGCCCTGCATGTTGTAATTTGGGTTAAGGTTTGAAATAAAATGACCTATTCTGTCTACAGAACTAAACAAGACATTTCCTTTATAACTGGTGAAAGACTACAAATTACCATAGAACACTCAATTATTTTAAGTTCCTCTTCTGGAGGGGGAATTCAGTTCTTTCCCCTCTTCATCTGACTGAAGTAGTTGAAGAGATGAATGCATGTGCTTTCAAATATGTATAGTGGGCAACTGAACACGAAGGCCAGTGTGCAAAAGTCACATTTTAATACTGTTCTTTATTGTTGCTCTTGTTATTTACAATTACTGCTTTGGAAACCTTTGTTTCCAGATGACATAAGGAACGTAGGGATGTCGTTGATGTGAATGCATTCATATTTAGAGGTGAATAAATATTAAATATTGCAGATGTCTGACCTGCCATTCTAAGAGATGATGTTGGGAGGCAGGCTATGGTAAGCACACAAGGCACCTGATTGGCCAAAAAAGTAGCCATCCCTGAATTGCGCACACTGCTTCTCTGCCTGTTAACCCCAGTGCGTGCTAACCCTGCTTGCCCGCCCTTACTAACGTCAATCATCTCTGGCTGTGCGAAAAGCCCTGTTTGCACAGACACTTGTCTGTGCAAACTAACTGCTGTTTGTCTCAGGTTCCTGGAATGTCCCCTGCATACACACTGTGGGTTTGTACAACATTACCTTTTTTTCCTTTTAAAAACGTGTTTTTTTTTTTTAAACGTAGAATGCACCTTTAAATTTGAGTCAAGGATATCGTCTTCATTGTCAGGTTAAAGATCAACCTTTTCCCAATGTGACTTGTTTTTTTTTTTTATTATGGGACCGTTTTGAGTACAGTGATATGTAGTCCTTGTACTCCAGTCAGGATCACTCACATCAACAGTGCTTCATACATGGTGGAGGTTCATAACCGAATAACTAACCTAGATTCATGCTGAATAACTATCCTAGTGTGAGCTGGAATACTGAGGATCATACTGCTGCTGAGGCGTTTCACAAACCTGTCTAGGCCCACTGTCACATGGAGCTCACTCTTTAGAAACTGTGATCTTTGTGTTAATTATTCCAGATATGAATGTAACAATTACAGTAAAATCAATTAAAAGAAATGGCACATTAGTAGAATTTGCAGCAGTGGTATGATATATTCCAGTATGGAAAATACCAAGTTGTCTTTGATGAAGGAACTTCACTTTAGCCTTGTACAGTACATCATTCTAATTCATTTATACTCAAAGTGTGGGCTGGCACCAACGTATTTTCCATTTCACTAATGGGATCAGTTGAAAGACTGGGAAATCTTAAAAGGCTCCACTGAAGTGATTTAAAATCTCACACTTCTTATATGTTCTTATGTGTTTGAATGCTGCAATGCCTGGTAGCTCCCGACGTTTGCTACTGGGGAAACTTGTGTTGAACGCATTCCCCTGTGGACTAAACCCCACTGTGCTTGGCTGTGCAGATTCCAGTATTGCTGTGAAGGGGCTGACCCGTGCCCTGGTTCCTGAGCTCCCTGTGGAGCCGCCCGTGTCTCCCGCTGGCCGAGAGCTGTACAACCCCCCACTGCAAGACCCCGAGCTCGACTCCGAGAGCACCGCCTTGTGAGGAACCCCCCCCCCACCTCCGCTGCTTCATCCTTCCCCTGTCCAGCCGGGCTCACCTCCTCCTCCTCCTCCTCTTCACTCCCCCGGGGCTCTGCCCTCGACACGCTACCCCTCTTCAACGACGGGGGCACCAACAGGCCTCCCTCCCTTGACTGCAAGAGCTTTAGACAATCGGGGTGTGGCTCTTAAGAATGGGAACAGAAGAGCTGGCGCCCCAATTCGCCATTACCACAGCTCCTTGGAAGCTTCAGGATACGGCTGCTGATTATTGACAGATGCTGTTATTGCGATACTGCATTTGAAAACGGAAGAGTTGAATAAATTTAACAAAGCAAAGCATGCACCTTCTGCACTGGTTGCTATCAAACAAGCTATTGGTTCAAAAAGTCTTTTTTTCTTTAAAGCCAGTGTCCTGGAACTCTGGGAAGCTTTGATCATAGGATATCTTTATATATACTGTATATATGCAGTATATACTTGTCAAAAATATGCTGTATCTTTTGCGAGGATATGGTTTAAGAACAGAAACAGCCTTTCCTAAGAAACATTCCTTCTTGATGTACAGTAGTTCAAACAATAATAGTATTACTCGGGAGGCAGAAATTTAAAAACCCGTTTAGCAAATTGTGCTGGTGACTGCAGGTTCCCAGTTGTCAGCTGATGTGTTTCAGTGCCTTTTGTAATCAGTCCAGTGTGTTTGGAAACAAGTCACTGGCTGTCTGATCTGTACTTTCAGATCTGCTTCCTTTCTTTCACAGACTGTGCAATAAATCAATCCTTCTCTTTTTTGAACATCTTGTATCAGAAGACTAATTCACTGAGCTTTACAATGAGGTACATACTGTACTAAAGAATCTGACTTTTGTGAAATGACATTTGACTGGTTATTACCGCTGTTTGGGTTCAAGCATGGATTCTTTTTTAAGAAAAGCATTGTAATTTGTGTGTTTACCATTGCTGTTGGTGCATTTTTGATCAACATTGCTTATGATAGTACCAGTTTAGTGGACTTATTATGGCACCTGAGCAGACTCCACTGACCAGTTCTATTCAAGAGAAGGACTGAATACCTGCTGTCTACAGAGACAAAATGAGCAACTTGAACCATTTCTAATGCCTTTTTAAACACAAAGAGGTAGACAACCCTGAATATGGACTGTCGCAATGATTCCTTGTTTTCATTCCATTTCAGACCTTAACGACTTAATTAAACCAATCAAGTGCAGAGCAAATGAAAGTCAGCTGTTTTCCAGGTCTTAATCAGGCGCTAATTGCTAGATGCCTCTGAAGTCAGCAGGAAGTTGGCACTGGAGGACCAGGGTTGTCCACCTGTCTGAATAGCTCATTTACAACATTCACACACAATGCTGTGCACTGTGAAACAAACATTCTTCAAGGGAGAGATGGTTTTACTTCTTAGGTATTAGGCTTTTTTTTTTAAGATGCCTGTAAAATGTTTGTGCGTTTAATGGTCATTTCCACTGAGCTGTATTTTTTTTTACTTTGGAGCTATTTTACGAAAAAACAACCTTGAAACTCAGCAGTGAAGTGGTTTAAGAATTTAAGGCCAGAAATGCTCCATTTCTGTGTTGGTTTCCTCACTGTCACTTTTGTGTTCTGTTCTCAAAGAACGGAAAACAAATAGCACTAAGGGTTTTAGTCTGTGGTATTCTGATTGCCCTTAGAAGATTATTTGTAAATTTGTATTTAAGTTATCATTATGGTAGTCATCTGTAGGGTCTTGCTAATGTTGCCTGTAACCAGCTATTGTTTTCCTGATGCTGTATCTCTTTAAGTGCACTTCCTCTCTTGCTGTGTACACGAGGCACAGTTTTTGGAAAGGCTTTAAAATGAACAATCATATTCTTATACGGTTATTGTTAAGGCTGCATTTTTTAGCTCGGATCTCTGTCTAATTACATATAAAAATTGAAAAAAAAAACATGTAAGGCTTAATAACTACTCTTTTTGTTGACAGAATAAAAAAAACCTTATGATCAAAACTGTTTTTTTTATGTTTCCCCAAGGTTTGTGAAAAGCTGAAAAATGTTCAATCACTTTCAATGTGTAGTAATACAGGTACCCTGTTCTTAATTTGTAGTCTTAGGAAACAGCAGTGATATCATTTTCCCACTGCCTGGCTGCCTGGTTGACAACGTTAACATACACCATAAATACCAAGTCTGTTTTAAATAATAAAATATTTTCTCAATCTCAACAATGGGAACCATTGTTTATACATAAAAAGAAAAGTATGTCAGCTGTAGGTAAAATAGGCCTTGCTGGAATTAAATTGGCAATAGCCCAGTTTGTCTTTGAAAATGCATTTTATTGTGCTTTTTAAATAGCTTGATGGGTGTATATCAACACAAAGTCAATAGCAGGTGTCCGGTTACTCCATTTATATACTGGTGTACTTGTTCAGTTTCATGAGAAGTTGTCACCAGTAAAGGTGACATTGAGTGGGCCACACAATTTCTAAAAATGAAGGAAGAGAACAGTGTTAGTGGAGAACAGCTTGGCACCCCAATTTCCTTTGTAGTATTCTGAAGAATTCGAATTATTTTGACATATATTGTGCAATGTAAACTTGCTTTCAGTAGAAGCAATCAAAACACCAAAGGTTTTAGTTTTAGAGCCTTGTGTTTGTAGTGGAGCAGAGAATGGAGGAAAAACACCAGCCAAGAGCTTACCCTCCAACCTCAGAAAATCCTTGTGTTCTGACTTTTCACACAAGTGCACAATTTCCTACGCACAGGGCCTATGCTCTTAAAGTAAGGCAGTGGGGAGAATCCAACTTTTCAGATGGTGTTGAATCTACCTTGAAACCTGCTGCTGTAGTGTGGATTCTAACACATCTGTGCATTGACAACATAGTATTCCCTAGTTAATGAATGAAAATCTGGGACAAGAACGTAAGTGGTTATGACTGTATCCAAGGTTTCAAATTGGTTATTTGGCCAATGTTTATACCTTAAGTGCCTTGCAATAATAATTTTCTGGACACTTCACTCAAAGCGCTTTACAGGTAGTGCGCCACCAATGTGCAGCCCCCAACTGGATGAAGCCACAGCAGTCATAGTGCGCCTGTATGCTCACCTTGCAGACACTAGTTGGTGACGTACGTGAGCACAAAGGCATTGGGTAACTCGCTCAGAGTGACAGTACTTAGGTGGCTTTGAACCAGCAACCTCCTGACAGCAGGTACTTTGGCCTGGCTGTCTGACGATCCGGCCTGGCCCAGAACCGTGTGTGATGGGGGTGGTTATTGAACTCCCGTAGTGAATCCGAATCACCTGAGTCCATGAGGACGTGCAGGGGCGCGTGGTAGGCCTGCAGGAAGGAGGCGGGCGTGCGCAGGGCGGTACTGTGGCACAGCTGGGCCACGGTCTCCTCCTCCACCAGCAGGTCCTGCTCCTGGACCTCCTCCCCCGCCTCCCCCTCCTCGCGGTCACCCTGGAAACAGATGGCAAGCCTGGGATACTCCTGTTGCTCGCTTGTAGGATTTTTTCCCTCCCATCATTTTGCCCCCCCCCATTCATTGACTGGGGAGAAAATGTTCCTCCCCTGCTGTCTCCGTCTCTGCGGCAGCCCCTTCGCCACTCCTCGCTGCTCCTGGGAGTCCCAGCCTCCTCGTCCTCTGGCCAGGAGGTGAGATCTCAGCCAAGCGGGTTCAGCCAGATTTATTAATAGAACAGAATAAAAATATCACTGGGGAAAAAACACAGGAAAATAGGGAGACGACAGAAACCCCCCATATAAGGCACCTCAGCCCAGAACTGGACTGTGAAGCAGTGGTGCGAACGTCATGCCCCTGTACTGCTGTTTGTTAATCATCAACTGATCTTTTGTGTAATCTAAAAAGCAATATCATCAGAAGGCCTTTGTCGACTGGACTGCCCTCATCACCTGTTGCTGCTATTACCTGGTCTGTGCTGCCCTTCAGCAGGTGTGCGCACAGCCTGTAGAGCAGGGAGAGGCAGTCGGGAACCAAGCTCTCCATGGTCTGTGGGCTCCGGGCCTCCTCCTGCAGGCTCAGGGGCAGGTTCAGGCACCTGAACCCCCACTCGTGGAACACATGGGCCGGAACACTGTAGGACATCACCAGGATCCTGGCATCCTTCAGGAGAGAGCTGCAGAAATACATACATACATCAATCACCTGTAACACCAGCTGGATGACACCGTTCCGGGTAAATGCAGGTTTTTTTTTTTTGGTGCTTTGTATAATTGTTCAATTGTAGGTTTTCTCAGTTTTTTTTTTAAGATGAATCAGCAGTTTTTCGGTGCTTGTGTGAAAATAACATTTGCATCACCCAGAAGTCATAAACTTCTATTCCTAACGGTGAGAAATGACTTCGGCCATGTAAAAAAAAATGTGTCAGGTTTGCAAAGGAGTCCCCTTCTAAACAATGAGGATTCCAAAGTCAAGAGTGCTGACTACAGTATGAGATCATGACTGCCTGTTTTCCATCCTGATTCTTCACTAACAACTGTGCAGATGGGGTTTCAGATACTGTGCTACATTTCCTGTATGCCATTCCAGGCACTCTCCAAAGCTTCAAGGAAATCCTTACTCAGTGCCTTTCTCCTCCATTGCCCTAAGATCCTGCAGAATTGTGTTTAAGACATCTGAAGAGGACTGCAAGAGAGGATGCATGTTAGCATATTGATATCCATCTCACACGTCACGATTTCAATATTAAACTACAGCAATTCATATAGTGACGATTGAAATGCGCCGAGAATGGCGAACACAATAATAAGATCACGACAGTTTATAACACATGGCACGGTTCAATTACAACCGTGTGCGACTTTGATGAACCTGATGATTCATAGTCACACAGATGTGAAACAAGTTTTGGTGCACGATGCCAACTAAATAGAGTCCCAGCCTCCTTGTCCTCTCTTGCCAGGAGCTAAGAGCTCAGCCAGGCGGGTTAAGACTTATTTGTTATGACTGAAACGCGCAATAATTATTTCAATTCGCTTAATTCTCGGGTGCTGTTATTCCTATTGAGTCGAGTGCTGTGCAAAGACGGTTTACCTCCAGCACATGCAGGATACATCTCGGGTACAGCAGCAGAAGCCCAGTGATACCCTCTGCCTGGGGGTTCTTCTGCAGATGGTTAAACAGCTGCTCGTAGTGATCTACAACACGGAACACCCTTTTCAAACACAGAATTCAGATTTTGAAAACGCCCGGGTATTCCGGTATACAGTATGCTAGGGACTCCCCCTGGCGGTTAGGACGCGTCAATACCTGCAAGTTCCGTCAGTACCTACAGTTCATGATCGACGTTGAGATGAGATCACTACTTCATTTTGATCTATTGGTTTCTGTTCTCCATCCTTGCTAGGCTTTGCAATAGTGACACGTCTTTCTTGCCCACAAACGCACAATCTCATCGCATCATTAAGTGTTTTATCCATTAATATAGCGGAATATTAAGGTGGATATAGAGTAAGCTGCTCCCGTACCTGGGAGCTTAGAACTAATTGGCTATATCATTACTGTGTGTATCAAACACTAATAAAATTCTTTCCAACCGATCAAATTCTGTAATATCTCCGACCTCGCCATTCAAGCGCAATATCACCCGATCTCGGGCCAAGTATAGTTCGCTGCTGAGTTAAATAAAAATCAGACTTATTAAAGAGGACTACTTAATGCTGCCAACCATACAAAGAATCCAACAATGCTGGTGACCACACTAGCAGTAATGGACATAGGTGTGGTCAGTTGTAACTTGAAAACCAGTGTTTTTAGTAATTTTGCATTGCATATAACATTGTTGAGCCTGTCCTGTGCTTAACATCTCCATCTAATTCTGTTCCTCAAAGTTTTTTTAACTTCCTAAAACTTCGTTTTTACGTGACCTCACACTTACATAGCTGAATAAGAATCGCCGTATTTATTGTTTACCTGTGATGTCTCTCTTCTTCACTGTACTCGTACTGATCTTCGCTACGTAAATTAATCTGTGAATCAAACATTTCTAATGTAAACAAAGAACAAAATTGTTAATATATTGCAGTATTTATATAACCATACTCCTAATAATGTAAGTGCAGCTCTTCTTCACATAAACATTGGGTCTTTAAATTTTAGGGTTCAATTCCTTAAGTACTATTTTCGGCCGTTCAAAATCGCAAAAAAAAAAGCTAACGGGTCAAGCGCACGACGCACCTTGTGTGTGCTTTTCTGTTTCTCGACCTCGGCAAAAAGTGAGGTCTTGTAGGCCGCATAGTGGTAGGTGACGCTGTTCAAAGAGGA